TAATTTTTTCGGAGTTGAATTTTTTCAAAGTCACCGATGTTTTTTTGCATATAAATGTTTTTTTTTCTTTTGCATATTTTAACTGACACAAAAATATGTTCCGAAATGCATAACAGCATGATTTTGAAATGATCTTCCACTCCCAAAATTAAAATTAAACATGAAATTTATTTTTACCGAGATCTACTAACTTTTGTTACTATTCTTTTATTCTCTTATTTCGTGTGTAAGTTTTGAAAGAAAGAGATTCTCTCACTTCTCTCACTTCTCTATATCAACACTTTCACGAAAGCTTTTTATTAACTTTGCATACATGTGACATAATGAACCATTACGCTCAAAACATTTTTCTCGATACATTCGAATCATTTCCCTTAAATTACTGGTGACTTTTGCCGTAAATTAAAATCATATCAGTTTTCTCTTCCTTCGAGTAACTTGATTCTCAATAATTCAATTCTCGAGTAACTCAGTCTGAAAACAGTTCAGTCGTTTAAATATTTGTAGTGTGACAATAAACATGTTTACTTACGTTCACATGTTCTTGTCCGTCATTGTTAAAACCTACCATCTCGATGGAAATTATATTTAGCTTCAATTTTAGGAATCAAAAGTTATTTTAAACGTTATGTCATTATATTTGTCTGAACACATTTTAATGTGTTCAGCTACAATATGTAAAGGAAAAAATATTTATGCAAAAAAAAGAATATCAATGACCTTGAAAAAATAACCTTGGAACAAAGATATTGGCAGTATATTCATCCTTTGATACTATTAAAATTTCATATAAAATATTTTTGTATCAACAAAACTGAAAGAGATATTTAAGTGACTATCTTTAGATGAGACATATCTGTATAAAGATTAAAATTAAAAATTTGAAATTGATCTTAACTTGATATATGTAACAAAATACGTAACAGTACTAATTTTAATTGCAATTATTTTAACTTCTAGACAGCCATTTTTTGCATAAACAGTTATATAATAATTTAATTAACTTTCAAATTTTAACAAATTCTTATAAGAAATTTGTTCAGTAGATAGTTATAATCTTAAAAATAACTAGAAATGAATACGAAAATAAAAAGATGAGCGATTTATCTTTCTAGCGGAACCTAGAACCTTCGATGCAGAGTATCCATCTGTCTCCATCGATGCGGATGACGCCATAGTGCCGTTCCTTTTATCTCCCGTCGTCCTTTTTTGGCATAGAAATTCAACGAATAATCGCGAGCTGAAATCGCACTGGCGCGCTTGCTATGCGTCCTGAATGCGGCACGATGCATATTGCATGCAGGCGAAGGAAAGCTGTTCGCCATCGCCGCTGTGCTACTCGCATCGCAATCCAGTGTGTGAACATAGAGTTCTCCTAGAAATCAGAACGCGGGGCGACGTTCGTGAAACAACATTTATGTAGATACTTTTTATACGGCTCGATGAGTAAACAGGAAATTATAGTCCGAACGACAAATGAAACCTCAGCGCGAGACAAATAAGTAAGCTTATCTGATCGAAACTTTTGTTTTTTCTCTCATTATCAGATTTCGTAAATTATAACTATTATGTCGTAATTGATATTAAATTTGCCCATTATTTTTGTTACGTGTGCGCGCGCGCGTGTGTGTGTGTGTGTTATACAAATTAGCGAAAAATAATTATACAGGATATTCCATAAGTCGAGGTCAATCATTCGGAAGGTGAATAGGGATCTAAAAACAAAAAAGAAAGTTGATACGAACATAGATCCGAAAACTGTAGAGTCCTGATTTTTGCCAAGAGATGCTAAGCGGATTGTATCTCTATGTGATGCGTTTTGTGTAGTGCTAAAATAGCCTGTAGCTTTTATTTAACTTTAATTATGTAATAAAATTCATAAAGACCATCTTTCCTTTCAATTTTGACAAAAAGATTCGAAAACAAAGCAATTCGAAATTTTAATATAAAAATGATGACTCGAAAACAACGCATTTCTGAATCTATGTTCATACCAACATTTATTCGTTTTTCCCCTCTCGAGCCATTGACCTCCACTTTTGAAACGTTCTTTATTACTGTTACGGATGTTAATAAAATTATCAATAAATTAATATATTTACTTTTTTATATAAATCTCGTTTTGTATTAACTCGCGTTTCTTGATTCTTTCAATCTGTCTAATAAAAGGAGAGAAATATCGAGAATCAATAAATCGTAATAAATCGCAAAGTAAGATGTTTATGATGTCCCATAACAGATGCTTGTTGTTATCTTCGTATCTTGGGGAAAAAAATATCAGCGCGGCCGTATAGAAATCCGCTTCTGTGCTCGATGCGCGTAATTTACGCGGAGTTAGTATCCAGTCTTGCGTAATTCGGTCCGCCATGCGGGATATAATTTCAGCTTTAATAGCCGCGAGACGCATTGCATTTTCAGCTCCGCATAATCGGGCCGTTAAATCGTCGACGTCGACGGCGTTCAGAAAGTCCGCGGTGAATGCCGCGTGTCGCCAGCCCGGACGGACAAAGCCCGTAAATAAGACAAGAAATATGAATTACGAGCGAACGTTCGCGCCCGGAAAAACCATCGAGGTTCGACTCAGTTTTACATTAAGAATATAATATATCTGAATTTATACTTTGATATTCCGCGGGATCGCAATTCGAGCAAACGCAATAGATTTGCATTCTAAAGTAGATGCATCGCTCGCTCATATGAATAAAACTTGCATCGAGATAGAGCGTTACAATTTTGCCATAAGTAATTTCCCTTCGGCCGATTTAAAAATGCAATATTATGTTGGAATTTATGTGTCTTATTTTTTTTTTGTGCACTGCGTATAAATGGAGCATGTTGGAATACCCCCGCCATTATCGTTGGTCAGTGAATCCAGCCTACCAGTTGACCAACTGGTAAGACAGGACGGACAATGCACGCGCCGGTTTTTGTTAAGTGAAATTCTGGTTCACCATCATGGTTTGCACGCCATCATACGACTTTCCATTGCATCTCCTTCGTGGAAAGTCGTGGAATTCTGTTGTCGAGAGCTGATTTTATGAATTCTGTGCGAATAGAAGGGTAATAATGCAGTTCTCGATCTAATTTATATTCGAAGGAAAAACGGCATTAAACGAAATTAAACGAAACAGGTTTCCTACGCGAATAAAATCGCATCGTGAGATGTTAATGCTCTTATAATTAGACATAATATTTCCCATAAACTTTCACGAAGATCGTTACCTTATTATTATTAGATTTAAATAAACGATTTTTAAATAACGATTTTTTAACTCTAAAAGCATATATCAAAAAGATTTTGTAGAATTAACACGTTGAATGCAGTGTCGATGACACTCATCGATGATCGACGTAATATAAAATGCAATATGATATAAAAATTATCATACATAATAACATTCATAATTTTACAATTATAATTGATTTTAACATAATAGCTTAAAATAAAAAGTGTGTACATATAAACATACAAATATTTTTATATTTAATTATATAAATTGAAAAAAACAGATAAATAGAGATACTTATGGACATAAAAAGAAATTTGAAATCGAATGGATGGGAGAGATGGGAGAAATACACATAGTCATGTATATTGTCAAAATATATTGAATGAAAAAATGATCTTGCAAAAATTGGACAATTCTTCCGCATCGTTACAAGGAGGACTAATAGTAGGAGCAATAATAACAGTAGTGTTTTGCATATCCTCATTTACTATTTACTTGATCTTTCGCCTAGAGAAGCACGACCGCTACCGAATGCAATTAATAGGGCCCTACAACCTATAACGGTGCCTTAAGAGAAACGTACGAGGAACGTCCTTTATTTACAATATTAATCAGAATCGAACCGTGGGTTGTTTTTTTGCCGTGGCTTTATCGCGGTCTGATCTTGAGCAATAATGTACAATTACAATAACTCGCTTGCAGCTTGTTTTTTTCATAAATAATTAATATCCTTTTGTCAAAATCCAACGTTTCGCTTGAGCGTCTGACGGGATGTCGATTAATCTTCACTTGCATTTGTTTAGCTTAGTAGTATAAATATATGTTTTTTTTTTTATATAAAGAGAACGTTTGCATGTGTATATCACACGATTTATAAAAAATATAATTATAAGATATAATCAGAGAAATATATAGCTTAATTATTTTATAATCAATCGACAGTAATCAATTTGTAATCAATTAGTAATCAATTTTGTCAAAAAAATTTAAAAAATATTTTTAAAATAGAAATAAAAATATAGGTAAGGAAAAATTAAATAGAATAAAATAATTAGAAATTCTGAAAAATAAATTCTCGAAAGAATCATTAAATTTAGATATACAGCAACCGACAACTCTTCAAGAACTCGCGAAACGCCGAATTCTTACACAGCACTAGTAACGCACTAGTAAGTTCACGATTCTTAATTAGACTTAGACGAATAAATAGATTTCATTTACTAATTACATTGCCCTCAAACGAACGACTTTAGTGTTCTGCGACAAAGCGTCGCAATTCAAACTACAATAAATACAACGATTTTATTGATTAAACAGATCTATTCTTTAGCATCCCAAACAACATATGTATCTAAAAAACATCTCAGAGACGTCTTTTTTTAAAGGATTTCTCCAAGATTTTTCAAAAGACATTTGAAAATTGTTTTTTTATAAACATTTTGTTGAGCTATTTATATTAACCGTAATGTTTAACAAAAAGGAAACATAAGAAGAAAATTGAACTGAATACATAATGATATAAGCCTATATAAAAATGTACCGTTAATTAAAATCTGAAATTTTAATTTTTTTTTTATATTTCAACATCATAATAAAGTAAAACAAAGATTTTTTGAAAACGTGTTAACAAGAAGCAAAACAGAGAAAAGTTAGAATTATTTTATAAATCAGTATATGATTTTATAGTTATATTAATTATTATTATTAATATATCAAATTTGTAACTTCAATTTTCTTCTTATATTTCCTTTTTGTTAACCTTTTTTCCGTTTCCCCTTTTGTTTTTGCACAATTTTATTTACTTTAAGATATCTAAAAGTGATCCCAAATATTTAAAAGTGATCCCAAATAAATGTCTAAAAACGTCACTTCAAAGACGTCATAAATTCAGTTACGTTCGAATCAACGAATGGAATCAAAAACATCTTTTTGATAGACATCTTAAAAAATTGTAAATCCAAAAGACGTCTTTAAGATGTCACAATGTTCTCTGGAATATTAAATTTTACAACGTCTTGATCAGCCAATCGATTCGAAACGAGCTGCTCGAGAAGCTAATTTTTCAACTTATAAAACGATAATGAGAAAATCATATCTTCATCAATTTGTTGTTTTCAAGAAACTCACAATTCAATCAAGAAAAGTTGGCGCTTTCGAAAAATGCACTCCTCGAGTTTTGCTCGATCGATTTTCGCTAATCCATCCGAATTCCGTTCGAGAATATGATACTCCTTTTTTTTTTACACGCTTATCGACTATTCACAATTCATCGTCTTCGTGCATTCGCGAGCGATTTCACTCACATGAAAAACCGTCCGGAGAGGTGCACGTCCAAATATGATGTCCTGGTAGGATGAAGATGAAGATGCGCGACGCTAGCCGGAGAGCACGGACGTGGACGTCAAGGATCACGCGCAGTCTAGGGAGGCTAGGGACGCAGGACTGTGGGGGCCGCCGAGCATGAAGGGCGGACTCATTGGCGGTCCGCCACTTCCGGTGCTGTTTCCGTACAGCTCAAGGTCACCGAGATTACCACCGTCCACCCCGCTGTCGCATTTGTCGGATTTGCCTTCTTGTTTCAGTACCATGCGCCGCCATTTTGCTCGCGCATTCTGGAACCAGACCTGAAAACAGATGAGCAGAGGGTTCGATAATTACAAATTGAATCACTGCTAAATCACCTCGCGCGAGTTTGAGAAATCGGATTGCGATAAACGCAACCAATCTGATTACAAATGAATGATTACAAATGTAATATGACGATCTTTTTTTTTTTACAAACGCTAATATTTTTACTGCGACTCGTTCATATAAATCCTCCATGCGAATCCATCATTAATTCGCCATTTGCGCCATGCTGGAAAAAATTCATGAGCGCCGTTTTATGCAGTTGCAAAGGCGCAGTGTTAGATAAGAATTCCTCCTCCTATTCACGTATATACGCACATATATATGCACACCTGACACGCGCGCACGCCTTCGCGAGATTTCCTCTACAGTCACAATAGACGAAAGAAGACGCGATCCGCCGTCGCCATTTTCAAGACAGTCTCCTCCCCCGCGGACTTCCAATGAAAGAACTCGCAAGCTGACTACTCGTGCGTGTCTCCTCCAAGTACGTGAATGTGCTCGTGTGTCTATGCGCGCACGACGAACAAGTATTCGTGCGTTTCGCGATCAATATCAAGCAAGATGGCGACCAAGAACCCTAAGCTACGAATACAATAGCGGCCACCTTCAACCCTCTCCTTCGACTCAGCGAATAGGCGCAGAAGCAAGGCAATGTTACGGAAATGTTATCGGAATGACTGTCACGTGAAAGATTGGAGGAAACATTGGTGATGATTTCTGAGCAATGTTATTTTTGAGTTTTTGAATTTCGTTCTATTTTATTTGAAAAAGCTGATAGCTTCTCACGCGAGAAACGCATGTTAAGATTTATATTTGATAAATGGCTATTTTTCATATTCAGAATTATAAATCAACGTATTAGATTCTCGCTATTTAAATATTCGCTTTCCAGGTGTTTGATTTTTAATTATTAAAATTATATGTGAATCTTATGAAATTTGAATCCTTGCAGTCCTGAATGGTGGAATTCTAAGAGTTTAAAACTGTAAAGGGCTGCTTCAGGGCTCTAATATTTCAAAGAATATTTAAATTTTTTTGAATTTCCGATTAATTTTAGATTTTTAAATCTTTACAGTTAAAAGTCATTTAACTGAATTGAAGTTAAGTCGACATTTAAAAAAGAGAACTTCGCCTTATCTAAGTTCCTCGTTTCTATGTTATCGCGTTTCGCCTCGCCTTATTTACTTTTAAATCTTTAATATCTCCCGCAGCCGATCATTCTTCCTTTTCATCCGCGCATCCACGCACGGCACGCTTTACAAAGGAAACGCAAAACTTTCGTAACAACCTAATAATTTAAAGTAGTAGATTAACGAGAGCGAGTCGGCGCGAGTCCGTCGTTATGACGAAGCTTAGCCATTCGCCGGGGGTTTTGACTGTCTTCGGCTGGATTGACGCCGGCTCGTAATTACGGAGAAAGGCCGCAGCTTCTCGTCGACGGAAATATCGCTCCATTCCGCGCAGTTCTTTTAACTTCGCAGCCACGGCCACGCCGTACGCGCCGCACTAATTGGGAGAAGCGCGCGCGTCTACGCGACTGGCGTACGTGAATATTTTTATAGGGCGCACCCTCCCGAAATGTGAGAGAGGCAAAGAGGCCGAGCGAGAAACCACCGGCTATCCATCTTTAGATTTTCCTTTTGTGCTCGGGCAGCCGTGAGATCTCTCGTTATTTTTTTCACGGTGATTTATATACATAAAATTTAATAAGTTGGATGGATTTTACTTAGTTTCACAAAAAAAAAAACTAAAGCCGTATTGAGATATATAAAATTACAGATATTCAACATTTCATAAAACTTTAAGATTTATATTTTGAGAAAAAATGCAATATTTCTCAACTCAATTCATTATAGTGGTAAGCCAAGGATATGTTCAAACAATCAAAATAGTAATAATAAATAATAATAGTAATAATAAATAGTAATAATAAATAATTTCGGTAAGTAGCATCTTACGCGCCTAATAATTTATTTTCCTATTTTTTTAAAATTATATTTAATACACAAATGCTTATAGATTTTGTTCAATCATCTGCCGTTATTTTTAACGAATTTACAACATAGTTATTCAAAGTCAGATCGATCATGGTTAATGATATAAACAAATTTATATTTCGAATTTATACATATAAATTCAAAAAATAAACGCGCATAAAATTTTAGCTGTCGAGATTGCTTATCATTATTAATTGTTTGTAGCAATATTTTAAATATATAAATTCTTTTATCTAAGATTCTTTCAAAAAATTTAATTACACACGTGTAATTAATAAGTGATTATCGTTTAATCCATGAAAACATGATTTATTTTGTTAATTATATTATTTAATATTATATACATTAAAAATACTCAAAGTTAAGTTGACGATTACATCAGCGCATAATCGCTCTGAGAACTGAAACATGCGACATGGTTAACGAAATTGAAACGGTTGAGGAAATTCCAGTTTCAACATCGCAATCAACTCGCATTAAGAGAAAACGCGGAATTGCGAATCGGTATAAGCGAAACGGTCCGCTTACCTGCAACACCCTTTTCGGCAAGCCAGTTTTCTGGGAAAGCTGCTTGAGATCCTTCGCGTCGGGATTGTGATTGATCGCGAAGTAGCTCTTCATCGTCCTTAACTGGTGATGTTTAAAGCTCGTTCTCATCCGTTTTGTTCTGCTATTGGAGCCGGGTATGCCCGGGGTCCCAGGGCCTCCTCTGCCGAAAGGCATGTCTATGTAGTCCGCGTTTAGGTCTGCAACAAATTCAAAAGTGCACCGTCATGTCAAAATCGGTTAGACTGTGATTCGAGGCCTTTTCTTGAAATTTAACCATTTAAAGTCTACGTTGAGAAAATTTTACTTTTTCAAGTTTTCTAAGAGGAACAACGATAAACCACATATAAACATAAGCGAATTCGTGTTTTATTTCGTCGCGTCAATTTGTACGAACTCAATCGCGATACTAACATCGATAGTATCATCCTTGTAGACGGGGGAGCGCGATAGATCGGCGGAGCCGTGAATAAGGTATCGTGCCTGTAAACTATTTGCTGCATAGAGCTGTAATTGGCCGTGTATTCAGCGGCCTCTCGCATACGCTATCGCCGCTTTTCTTCTCCTCATCCCCCCGGTCTCGTTGCACTCGAAGAGCTAATGAGCTGTGATACGCATCAAACAGCGTTAGAACCCGCTTCCGTCGCGTCGCCTCAGCATGATCGCCTGTATTCGAAACATACTCGATAACTCTATTTGGCCGGAGAATCGCGAATTATATATCGAGACGTCGAGAAAAAACGGGCGGGGAATATTCAATAGATTTTTAGACGGTTTGGTGATAACAGTCATCTTTACAGGTACCATTTTTTTTTTTCGGAAAATCGAAATTTCTTTCTAATTTCTTTCTAATTTCAATTACAATTGTCTCTCTTGTCTTTCTTTCTTTTAGAAAAATAAATTCAGGGTTGGGAAGTAACGCGTTACTTGTAACGCCGTTACCGTTACAGTTATTTTTTTTTTTTTTTTTTTGGTAACGGAACGGAGTTACTTTTTTTTAATAACTTTTAAAGGTAACGTAGTTACATCTTTTTAATAACGATAATGAATCTAACAGTTACTTTCACCATTACTTGTTATATTGCTTTTCATATTAATTTTTATACTTACTTTTTGAATCTTTAACCTCGTCTTAAGAATAGTTTTAAGAATAGTTTATCATAAATCAATCACAAGGACAGATTTTATAAATACCACCTTTTTAAAAAGGTTTGAGAACAAAAAAGTATAAATTTGCTGTGTTTATGAATTTAATGAAAATTACATCTTTTGTACTTGCATTTTGAGTACTTTAAGATCTTCTTAAATCTTTTTCTTGTTTGTAAATTTAAAATAAAAAAGTTTTATTATTTTTATACTGATAGTTTAACAAAAAACGAGAAAAATTTATTTTTTATTTAATCCGATCTCGTTTTAATATTAAAAAATTAACGGAAAAAGTAACTAATCGTTCTTTTTTAAGTTCTTTTTTAACAATAATGCTAACGAGTTACTATTCAAAATCAGTAACGGTAACTAGTTACTTTTTTTTAACTCGGTAACGAATAATGGTAACGAGTTATTTTTTAAAAGTAACTTTCCCCTGAATAAATTATATACTTTTAATATTGCAATCTAGTGACAGGTAACTATTCACAATCTGGGTCAACATCATATACCGTCGCTTCGGTTATTAAACAATTAATACAAGCTATCTGTACGAGCGATTTGTTCGTGCGTAAGATCGCTCGCTGCGAACTACAACCATAACTCAGATGCAATTATTAAACACACGGCAATTTATCTCGCCTCGGAAGCGTGGACTATCGCGGTCCTTAGCAACGGTCGTAAAAAATTGCCGATATAATCCACGATAGATTAAAGACCAGCCAGTGGTGGTGGTGGTGCCAGGCAATCATCTGTGCACTGCTACGATCCTTTTTCACGACGACATGACGACATCGAGCGACCTCCCCCAGGGTGAACGAGGAGGAAAAAGGAACATAAAAAACATGCGATGGCAAGTAGAAGCTCCGATAGTGGCCCGTAGTGGTTCTTCGGCCGCAGCCAGCTGGAGCAGCCAACTTGTTCCCACGATCGGTTTCAACAATCGGAAATTAAGTTCTCTCGGACTGGCCAGTGTGTCGCCCACGCCAAGCGTACGCGCTTCGTCGGAAGATTCGGAAATTTATGTCGCGCCAACAAATTTTATCAGGCTTCGGTGGCAAACGTAGCACGCCCACGTATATCCGTAAATCACGCCTGGCTGGGCATGCGGTTCCTCCGCATGAGATCGCCTTTCGAAAATAACAATGTGCACAGTTCGAGAATTGCGGAATAGCCAGACTTCCGGAATTTTTGAGACGTTGAGAATTAAAAATATCGAGCCTTTTAAACTTGGACGATGTTCTGAGAGAACAGTTATTGATTCGTTTTGGCATTTCTAAATTGTCATATCGTTATACCAAGATAATCGCGATACCAAGCACAATTAAAAAAATTCACACTTACCAAGACTCGCGGTCATAGTCTCAAGGTCTTTGGGCTTCCTCTTTCTGGGTCTACCCTTTTGCCTGGGTGGCGGGACCACGGCAGCGGCGCCATTGAAGTAGGGTACCTTCGGAGGTGAGGAAGCGTCTGGTATGGAGGGCGTGGAGGGCTGTAGCGGTACCGGGCTGACATGACTGTGCGAGTGTTGGGGGTGCATCGTGTGATGTGGATGCGGTGGCGCGTGATGATGATGATGATGATGATGGAGGAACTCGGGTGAGGGGAAGGGCTGACCGGGGTAGTGCGGCCCCGGCGGGTAAACCGGGACCGGCGGACTTTGGGCTGGATGCTGCTCGGCGCCCATCTCGTAATGCAACCGGCAGAGCACGGCGCCGTCTCGCATGCCAAAGTGATCGCCCTTCGTCAAGGGCACCGCGCACGCCGCGCACGAGAAGCAGCGCACGTGGAATACGAGCTCACGCGCGCGCATCACCAGCTCGGACGCTAGGATCGCCGCTTGGCAGCGCGCGCACCGCTTCATGCTGCCGAACATCCTGCGAACAGAGAACGAAAGGGATCAATATCGTATAACCGTAACCAAAATTTTGACGTTTTAGTACGTCGATCCTTTTTTATATTTATTTATACCTGCTTGATCTTTACGATTGAGCAGAAAACAGGAATTGGAATTCTGGAATTTCTAATAAAAAAAAATTACGAAATTATGTCGCCTCGATTAAAAAGCGAAACGACAAATGTACAAACGACGTACGCTTTATTATTAAAGCGCCGCATATTGGAGGATACTTTTATCCTCTGATAAATCTTCATGTTTCAGAGAGAGAATCGAGAGAAAAGGAGGAAATAATAATCTTCTTTCATGAGCCTCATCGCGAGACTAGCGTCGCCTCGTTTCAGTACAAACACATTTCGCACTGCTATCGCATCGAGATATTCGGTATCAGCCGATGATTCTCAATAGAGTTCCGCTAAAGAGAGAGAGAGAGAGAGAGAGAGACCGCAATCGAGCGACGTCGGGAAGCGAGAAAGAGACGAAGAAAACATAGAAAAAAAAAAGATAAAACGAAGAAGACGAAGAGGAGGATATAGACACGTCGACCGATATCGCGAAGGTCGGCGAGAATATGTACGATGGCCTGAGCGCAAAGGAGGAGCGAAAGGGCGGAAAGGGAAAGAGGGAGGAATATACCCGATGCACCGGACGCCGTCGACATCGCTACTGCATTAGCGGCACCCTGCAGTCTCCATTACCGGAGCCGGTCGACTATCTGGCCGACAACCGCGCCGCGGCTACCTACCTAACCACTTATCTCACTCCGCGCCTTCCAAATATATATTACCACCCCGTCCCGCGTACGCCCCTACTAAAGAACCTAGATAAAGACGTGGCCCGATCTTATAACGCCGATCCCGAAGCCGGTTCCCCCGTACGTATACATGCGCGACATCCTTTACGCGACATCTCTCTCTCGGTACCGAGGGATCGGATCGGATCGGATCGGATCGGATCGGAAATGGATATTTCGGCGACGATCGAAACGAACGGTGTGTGATATGCACGTTCACGGGGAGAAAGAACGCGGCAAAAAAAAAAGCTAGTGCGGTCTTCCCGCGTGTAAATCTTGTAGGTCGTTAATTGTTGTCGTTGTTCGTGAAATATCTGCGTTATCCTGGCGCGTTATCTGCGTTATCTTTGCGTTACCTTCATTTTTCTTTTTTGTTTTCATTACTTCATTGTAGCGCTCGGAAAAACGTCAGATGATCAAATAACTCGAATTTCAAGACCAGATGTCAAATAATTTAAAACTTTTGAACCTGAAGATATGTTTTCGAACAGTTCGAACTATTCGAACTCACTTCATTCAGATTCGAAAGTTCGACACTAAAAGAAATTAAAAGAATGTAAAAGTGTTCTTTTATTTTTAATGCATACTACATTTACAATCTTCTTTACTATCCAAACATTAAAACTGGCATACTATTTCAAATGTTCAAACTATCCTTGACATTTGAATTCGGCTATCTCTTTTTGGCTTCGAATTGTTCGAATGCATCGAACGTGCAAAATATTTGAATGTTTTGTCTAACGCCTATTTTATTACGCTTATTATTTTTCCATATTTTTAATTCCAATACTTTGAGATTTATAAAATTTATATTTTCGATTCGACAGATCCGATTCCGAAATCACATTTATGATTTTTCGGTCGTTGCCAAGCTTCCCGAATGATTGATGGATACGCTCGCGCGATGTTGCAAGTGAAATTTCTTTCTAGATCAGAGATATCGACGAGAATGAAATAGAGAACAAAGGGAGGATGTGAATACACGAAATGCCATCCTCCGATGAAATCTGAGTGATTGGAAAATGGCGAGAATAAGCAGACGTAAGAGCGACGATCGCTAGAAACAGTATAATTTGCGTAAGTAACTTACGTAAATCATATTAACAAATATTCACGGCAGTATTCCGCGCGAATAAAGTCAAAAGTCAATTCAAACTCTATTTTTCTACAACGTTAAACAAATAGATTACAAAAAATAATGTTCCGATATATACTATGATA